AGGCTCCAGGCTCTGAGCCATCAGCCCAGAGCCCGACGCGGGGCTCGAACTCCCGGACCGCGAGATCGTGACCTGGCTGAAGTCGGACGCTTAACCGACTGCGCCACCCAGGCGCCCCTGAACGTTCTTTTTAATACTATGTATTCTAAATATAAATCCTTTGCAAAATAAGTGGTTTGTAGAGGTGCCTGGGTGGCTCAGTCGTTAGATGTCTGACTCTGGATTTCGGCTCACGTCGTGATTTCGAGGTCATGAGATCAAGCCCAGCATCGGGCTCTGTGCTGGGCCTGGAGTCTGCTTGAGAGTCTCTCTCTCCAAAAAAAAAAAAAAAAAAAAAAAAAAAAAGTGGTTTGCAAATATTTTCTCTCCGTCTGTAACTTGTTTTTCATCCCATTAACAGAGTCTTTTTTTTTTTTCCCCTATTGAGATATAAATGACACACTGAAATTTCATGCTTTTAAAGCGCACGGTCCACTAGTGTTTAGTGTGTGCATAATTTTGTGCAACAGTTAATCACTATAAAATTCCTGAGCATTTCCATCACTCCAGAAATAAACTCCAGACCCATTAGGCAGCCCGTCCTCACTCTTTCCCTCCCTCCAGCCTTCACATCCACTTTGTCTCCGGATTCACCTGCTCTGAGTGTTCTGCACAAGTGGAATCACACCACACGGGATCTTGTGGGTCCGGCTTCTTTCTCTCAGCAGCGTGTTTTCAGGCCTTACGTTTTGCAGGCTTTCCGTTCCTTTTATGGCTGGACAGTATTCCCTTGTACGGACAGACCGCATGGCGTCGGTCCATTGTTCGGAGCTGGATTGTGTCCTCCAAAAAGGAAATGTTGAAATCCCAGCCCTCCGTACCTCAGAACCTGACCTTATTTGGATACAGGGTGGTTGCCCGTGTAACTAGTAAAATACAGTCATACTGAGGATCAAGCCCTTGATGACTCGTGTCCTAATAAGATACACAGAAGACGGCCACGTGACAACAGAGGCAGAAATTGAAGTGACACAGTCACAGCCTAGGAAATGCCGAGCTTGGCAAGAGAGGAGCCCCCTCCAGCTCCCGGAGGGGCGAGGCGCCTCCGACACCTTGGTTTCAGTCGGCTGGTCTCCAGAGCTGGGAGACCGTACATTTCTGTGGTTTGAAATCACCTGGTTTGTGGCCGTGCCTTGCGGCAGCCGGAGGAAACTCACGCATCCACTCATTAGGGCCATTTGGATCGTCTCCACCCATTGGCTGTTGTGAATCATGCCGCTGTGAACGGTCCTGGACAGGTTTCTGTGTGGATATTTGCTTTCAATTCTCTTGGCTCTGTACTTCGGAGGGAAACTGCTGAGTCATATGGTTACTCTGTATTTGATTTTCTGTGTGTGTGTGTGTGTGTGTGTGTGTGTGTGTGAAAAATACACGTAACATGAAATCTATCATTTTAACCATTTTAAAGTGTAGGATTCAGGGGCACTACGGAATCTGCAAATTGTGCAACCATCACCATGCTCTAGGTCCAGAACTTTCCCCCCACAAACTGAAACCCTGTAACCAATCCCCCTCCCCCCTCCCCCAGCCCCCGAAAATCACTACGCGGCCTTCTGTCCCTATGGATTTGCCATCCCTAGTATCTCATCTAAACGGAGTTAGACCATATGCGTCCTCTCGTGTCTCGTCCTCTCGTGTGTGGCTTCCTTCACTTCCACCTTCCAGTTCAGCCACGTTCTGGCCTGTGGCAGTACTTCGTTCCTTCTGTGGAGGAGTGGTACCTTTGAGAGAGAGAGAGACAGAGCACGAGTAGGGGAGGCGTAGAGAGAGAGAGCGAGGCACAGAATCCGAAGCAGGCTCCAGGCTCCCAGCTGTCAGCACAGAGCCCGACGCGGGGCTCGAACTCACAGACCGCGAGATCGTGACCTGAGCCGAAGCCGGACGCTTAACCGACGGAGCCCCCCAGGTGCCCCGAGGGTTCTGTTGTTTATAAGCCACCCAGGCTGTGGAACTTTGTTGCAGCAGCCGGAACAGACTGAGACAGTTTTGCCCCATTTTAGAACATAACTGGGCTCCCGTGCTCAGCATAGCGTCTCCCAGACTCCCAGATACTATGTTGCCGGAGACGGGACTTGTTTCTTCTCACTGCTGTACCAGGTTCCGTCACCAGAACAGACCACAAGCGACCACCCACTCACTGTCGGGGGACATCCGGGTGGTGTCCAGCTTTTGCCTGTCACAGATAAGGCCGCAGGGGACATTCTGGAACGCGTCTTCGGGTGCGTCCGGGCTCTTGTTTGTCTTGGGGGACGTCATGGGGCACGTACGTAGCTCTAGCAGGTGCTGGCAGATGTATTTCCGAGGTAGGCGTACCATGGGGTGCTCCCGTGTAAAGGGGGAGACTTTGCTTTTGCCCGGCCTCTTATGGAGGTGCCGTTTTTCGTTGCATTGCTTCGATGGGTAATAATGTGCAACAACTCCTGGGGCACCTGGGGGGCTCCGTCGGGTAAGCATCCGACTTCGGCTCAGGTCATGATCGCCTGTGAGTTCGAGCCCCGCATCGGGCTGTGTGCTGACAGCTTGGAACCTGGAGCCTGCTTCGGATTCTGTCTCCCTCTCTCTCTCTCTCTCTCTCTCTCTGTGCCCCTCCCCACTTATGCTCCCTGTCTCTCTCTCGCTCTCAAAATAAATAAATATTAAAAAAATATTTTAGGGGTGCCTGGGTGGCTCAGTGGGTTAAGCGTCCGACTTCGGCTCAGGTCATGGTCTCGTGGTCCGTGGGTTCGAGCCCCGTGTTGGGCTCTATGCTGACAGCTCAGAGTCTGGAGCCTGTTTCGGATTCTGTGTCTCCCTCTCTCTCTGCCCCTTCCCCGCTCATGCTCGCTCTCTCTCTCTCTCTCTCTCTCTCTCTCGAAATATAAATAAACATTAAAAAAAATAATGTGGGACGCCTTTTCATATTCCAACTTCTCACTTAATGCTATGTTTGAACAGCACTCACTATAATCCTGAGAGGTTGGCATTCTTGTGTTGTTGGACGGATGGGGACATTTGGAGGGCAGAAGGGGCCGGCGGCTTGCCTGAAGAGGAACAGCTGGTACATGGTGGATCCCGGATAAACTCGGATGACAGGGCGTGAGCTCCTACCCGCTGAACTGCAGAGAAGCCTTGTTCTAGGACAGGAACGAGCTCTTCTCCCTCTCGAACTGGAGGAAGACGGGCAGAACTCAGATCAGCCCTTTATTTATTTTCTTCAGATCAGCACGTGAATCACTGAAGCCCGGCAACACACGGGTTAAGAAGGCTCTTTAGGGAACAGGCTTTGCTCTCCCCCGCGTTAGCCCCTGCTGTTATTTTTACGGGAAAGCACGTTCTGAGTTCCAAGCCCGGACGCTAGAAGGAGGCCCGGTGCATGGCCCGTGGGAGCCTGTCTGTGTACCCAACGAAAACAGCACGACTTGAGTAATAGCGAGTCCTGGAAATGATGACGGCCGCTTCCAAGCTTGTTGCCAGCCACTTGCTGGCCTTTGCAGAAACCTGAGACGCAGGCATGTGTGTAGGGGAGGCGGGAGGCGGGAGTCCCCGCCAAGGAGTCTCAGGTTTCGCAATCTCCACGACGCTAGAATCCGTTTTCCCCCTCCCGTCTCGGTCAGGCTGCCCTGGAGCAAACCTGGAGACGGAGATTGGTGTGCAAGCTGTCCTCTGAGGTCAGGGTCCCGGGGTGGTCTGCAAGGTGGGGGAGGAGACCAAGAAGCCAAGGGGGGACGGGGTTTTCTTCAGCAAAGTCTCCCCGAGGGTTTGTCCAGGCTGGGGCGGAGGAGCTGGGCCTTCATATCCAAGTACCTGCGTGTCAGTGACCAAGGGTTCACCTGGGGACAGAAGCCCTGGGCAGCTCTCAGCATCCGCGTGTGCACGCGAAGTAACTGCAGGTGCACGCCGTGCGAAGCAAAGCACCCCAAAGACCAAGGCGGCCGGAAAGAATCACAAGGCTTCAGGGGAGCTCCCCGAGCACACTGGGGGCCGCCCGTCTTGCTGGACTCACACCAATCAATCTCATCGGGCTCCAACCGTGTGATAAGTTGTTCAGTGAGGTGCCGATACCTTGTAACATTTTCGTTGCTTCCAGAAAACAAGAGGCCAGTGATACTTGCCAATGGCAAATGCCAGAAACCATGGGAGCCGCAGCCAGAGGCGAGGATTCCTGCTCACCCATCGGGGAGGTCAGCCCGTTGACACAGCCGGTCCAAGGAAGCTGGCCTCCTTCTGCAACCACACACCGTCTGTGATTCCCGGCGGCCCGGGAAAGAACGTTACTCCCAGAGGCTGGGACGGCGGTTTTCTCTCCCCGTCTCCTCCGAAGCCTTTCCCTGCCCGGCGACGCGTGGGGCCATCTACCGTGACACTGTTGATCGAAACTCAGCATGCTGATGGAAAAGTGCAAACGCGTGAGTGTGTACAGACGGGTGGGTTTTCCCAACGTGAACTCATCCATGTGACCCCCTCCCAGGAGCCCCGCAGGACGTCGGGAGATCCCCCGGGCGCCCTTTCGCTCCGCCCCCTCCTTCCCAGGGAAGGTGCCATCCCGACGTCCGACCCCAGAGGCTAGCTCTGCCCGCCACGGACATTCTACACGAGTGACATCACGCGGGGTGTGCTCTTTCGCGGCCGGATTCGTTCACGCAGCCCCACCTTTGTGAGGTTCGTCTGCATGACGGTTTGCAACGGCGGTTTGCTCTTCTTCCATCGTCGTCTACTGTGCCGCAACTTCTGGATCCTTCCCATCGCTGATGGGCATCGGAGCTCGCTCCCGTTGGGGCCGTTGGAAACGGTGTGCCTGTGAGTGTTCTAGAACGTGTTTCTGGGTGCGCGGATGTGTGCATACTGTTGGGCGCACACCCAGGGGAATGCCTGGCTGTCCGGTATTTGCATGTTCAGCTTGATGAGGTGCAGCCTGTTTGCGAAGTGCACTGATTTACACGCTCGGAAAAGTGCAGCCGTTCTGGGGCCTGCACCACCTCGCCACCCAATCATAATGCAGGGAATGATACACTTCGATATTCTCCACCCTCACGACTGCGGCTGGTTTTTATAACATCTTTGTGGGAATCGGAAAAGGACCCTCCTGCCTTAAGACCCTTCCGCCGGATGAAAATGTGATGAAAGCTGGTCTTGTCAGAGCATGGCGTGTGACTGCCCTCTGCTGGAAGACTGTTGAAATTCATAGTACAGAGCTTGGATCCCGGGCGATGGAAATGGCAGCCTCTTGGGTATGGTAGCCTTGGGCAGTACACGCCCTGGACAACCACACATGGTGACCCTGCCACTCTTCACTCTTGTTCACACACACTGGAGGTGACGGTCAGGACTGGGCAGAGGCGGCCCAATGAAAGCTCACAGGATGATGGCCCGGGGACTGAACCTGGTCTGCTGCTTTTATTCGACCCGCAGAGGGGGAAAAAAAAATGGAGCTAATATTTTAAAATTTGGCAGATTGTGTCTAATGATCTGGAAAGATCTGAGAAATCAGAGAAAGTAGAGAAACTGGGCCCTCACCCCCAAATTATAACACAGAGACTGCTCTCCATGTGTCTCCAGTTAGCCTTCGTCTCCGCCATGCCCGATTGTCCCTCAAGCCTTAGTCAATGGCTACAGCGAAATGAAACTATGCTAATGCAGCGTCAGATGCCTTCCCCAAGTGTCTTCCCTTATGTATCAGCAGTCTTCACTGCTGCTGGAGGCCTGTAAATTTGTGACCACTGGTCTTGACACTGGTGAAAAAAACCCCACCCCAAGCTGATCCTTAGATCGTAAGATCAAGTAACCCCTCTATTCTTTGTGCTCTAGTGAAAATCCCATCGGACAAGGTTTCGGTGGAATCACAGGGTCGAAGGGCTGGAGTTTGCCGGCCCCAACCCCTGCCCCAAGGGGTTGGTGCTTCACCAGCTGGTGGCCCAGGAAGGGGGGAGGTGGGGGGATGTGGCGGGAGGGCTGGGTGAGCAGGTGAGGGTGAGGGGGCTGCATCTAGAACTTGCTCGGAGGGAATCCGGTGTCCCAGGGATCGGGGCTGGGACAGTGTAGCAGCCTGACAGTTATGGGGCTGAGACAGAGTTGACAATTTTGAGGGAGAGAGAGAGAAAGAGAGAGATAGTGTGGGGGAGGGGCAGAGAGAGAGGGAGACACAGAATCCGAAGCAGGCTCCAGGCTCTGAGCCGTCAGCCCAGAGCCTGACGCGGTGCTCGAACTCATGAGCTGTGAGATCGTGACCTGAGCCGAAGTCAGATGCTGAACTGACTGAGCCACCCGGGTGCCCCATTATTGGGCACTTACTATGTTCCAGGAACTGCGTCACGTCAGGTAGCCTTCACAACGATGCTGTCTGCCCTACTGTGTGTCCTCTGATAAGCCCCGTTTTGTAGACAAACCGAAGCCCGAGGCCCAGATCACACTCAGGGGTGGCGGGAGGGCGGGTTTGAACCCAGACCTTCCTGATTGCGGGGCTCCAGCTTCAGACGCCTTTTCTCTTCTGCTCAGAGAGTGTCTGATTTAGAAGCAGAACCTCTTAACTTGTGGCACCAGGTGGAATCTAGGTGGGAAGACAGAACTTTGTAATAATCACAGATGTGTTGGTCTGGTTTTGCTGCTCTCTGGGAGATGTGAGTCCTTTTGATTTTCGATGTCACGAACTCTGATCGCCCACAGGCTGAAAACCACTGATGTCCTACCTTATCTTTCTCTTGCAGGGCCTCCCAGAGTGACCTGACGCTTTGCACAGGGTCACACGTCCCGTCTGTGCCACAACCGGAATCGGGAGCCCGGGTCCTGACTCACTGATTTTTCTCCACCCAACGTGCAGTCTGAGTTTCCAAATCCGGCAGGCATCAGAGCACGCTGCTCTTTAGAAAGATAAGCCAATTTACATTCTTCACCGGCAGGCCGCGGGCTGCCCCCTCTCCCAGAGAGGCCTTTTTCAAACTGACATCTGTCAGCAGCCTTGATCCGTGTGTGGCTTTTTCCAAGCGGTGGTCCTGTTCGGGGACCTCAGCTCAACTTTGATTCCAGCCGCGGCACACGGGCAGCCCCTCCTGGCTCCACTAAGATGGGTCGTGCCCTGGCTGCGAGGGACAGCGTGGGGGCAACCGGGCCCGCGTTGTGCCCTTGCAGGGGTGGGAGAAGGCTCCCATGAGATGCGGGCACGCAAGCGTTTGGAAGAATCATGCGATGTTGGGCAAAGGCAGAGCGTGAGGATTGCAGTGCGTGGGGGAGCGGGCCGGAGGAGGAGGCAGATGGGCGGGTGCTGTGTCCTCTTCTGGAGTCGGGCCCAGAGCCCAGGGCTCCCCTCCCTTCCCTCTGACAGCGCAGGGCTCGCCAGGTTCTGTGCCGGCAATCGAGGGAGCGCCGGAGCTCTCTGACGCTGTGGCTCGGCACTGGAGCCTTCCTTTGGAGACATCTGCCAGCGAGACTGGAGCAAAGCTTCTTTGAGGCCACGAAGAGGTGATTGTTTTGCATTGTGTAGGAGGAGCCATCCAGGGAAGGAGAAATTTCCCTTCGAGAAATTCAGGAGGCGATGCCGGAATCCTGTCAATTCCACGACTCACGGAGCGGGGTCTTTGCCTTTGTAGGGAGGGGTGCGGGGGATGGGTAGGGGGCCGTGACGTGTGCGGGGTCCTTCCTTAGCGGGCAAAAGCCAAAACGGGTGGGACGTGTTCATTCACGTATTTCCTCATTAAAAAATAATTTACTGGCATGCATGCCTCGCCTTCTGTATGGACCCAGCCCTCGGGGCCCAAAGTGCAGGTAGAAATGGATACCCACACAAGTGACTTAGGAGGGCACCGAGGCGGGAAGCGTCAATGCTGCTGGGGAGGTGGGTGTCAGGGGATCTTCTGGAAATGAGGTGACGTTAGCATCTTAAAGGATGCATAAGATTTTCCCAATTAGACAAAGAAGGGAAAGGCATTTACGGTGGAGGAATGGCATGAGCAAAGGCCCTGTGGCTGGAAGGGGCAGGGAGGTTTTGAGCATAAGGGATCACCTGGGGTGGCTGGAGCATGAGGCGCTTGTAGAGGAGGGGGAAGCCCAAATCAGGCTGTGGAGACCCTCTGATACTGTGGTGGGGGGCTGTTATCACTCCTTGCCTCATGTTTCCACGGGACGGAGGCTGTCTCTAGGAAGGAAAAGCACCGTCGGAGGACTTTGTCTGCCTGCCTGTCGCCAGACTGACACAGTGGGCTCAGAGGCACAGCAGACCTGTGGCCCTGGGTCCCCTCTCCCACTATGTCCCATGCGGACGGCCGGGGAGGTGTGCCTGTTGAGATCCAGACCCATCCACGGCAGCTAAGCTCCCGGGGAGGCTGGATCCTGGAATGTCTGGGTGGAGCAGAGCCCCCAGCCCATCAGGAACAGCCCTGCCCGGGTCTGGTCCAGGGATGAGAAGGGCATTCTTGCTGCTTTAAGCCCCAGCACATCTGGGGTTGGTTACAGCAGCTAGCCCGAGTCTGATACATCAGGTGTCGGGAGAGGAAAGGGCAGGAGGAGAGGAGCGGAAGTGACCCACGAGAGGGACTCCTTCCTTGGGGTGCCTGCAGGGTAGCCATGAACATGCAAGCACGCAGCAACATACTCACCACTAGGGGGCGCTGATTCACCCTGGGCACCAAGAGCGGCTGAAACTAAGCTTGAGGTAAAAACGAAGCACAAACACACACACACAGACACCGTGGAAAATGAATTCCAGTACTGCCTCTAATCTACAAGTTTTGTGTTTTTCAAAGAAGGTAACAGCCAATGATTTACTGCCCTAAAACTTGAAAATAGATTATTTGGGCTTTGGGCATGCTGACATACACCGAATTGTCTCTCCTATTTGCATAAAATATGTGATTTCCTTGTCAGTGGTTGCGTTCCGTCTCCAGACAAAACTCTGAACGTGCCAAAGTGATCTTACACACCGCACCACACACGCTCTGGATAAACCGCTTGTACTCAAATCTACATCTCAGCCCTGCCTCTGGGAGGACCCAGATGAAGACAGCCAGCTATGATCGCCAATTACATAGAAAATGGTGATAAGAAAACCCTTGACATTGGGGCTTTAGTTAAAATTGCGTTTCCAGGTCTGGGGCTGTACGTCCACCATAGACCTTGAAATGTGTGGATGTCTGATCTTATCTACTCAGGCTTCCATGGAAACTGCCCCTTCTCACTCAGCCCGCCCCTCCAACAGCCGTCTGATGGTCGCAGTGGGAACCGCCATGTTTGTTCGGCATCTGCTGTTGACAAAGTCCCTTGCTCTGGAGGCGGCTTCACCACAGCTGATCCAGGCAGAGACTTTCCTGGTGCTAAGAGACTCCGGGTTGGCTGGAACTCTCTCGAACCCAGGTAGAGAAACCCTGAGTGCCTTTGGCAAAGACCATCTTCTCCCCGGTTGGCCAGGGATGCCAAGAAGGCAGAACGGATGCCTGGGTTCCCTCAGGTACTCTGGTTCCTGGCTGTGGTCCATTCTGGAGCCGACACTCACATTCTTACATCCCTAGTCTGAAACTCCCATCTGGTTTTGGTGGTAACCCAAAGAAGCCAACGAAGTCCTACCTCACATGGAAACAGAGGCTCCCAGGTGTCCACAGAGGCTTGTCATCAACGTGGGATCCAAGCGGATACTAACGGAGTGTGCAGAGTAGAAAGCTGTACAACAGCAACAGTCAGAGCAACATGGCTTCGGCTCGACTCTGTCAACCAGAAATGCAATTAATCAAAGCCGTGCATTTCCCAAGCTCCCCATCGGCCTGACGCATTACTGTGTTGGGAGATGATTTAAGAGGGAGCCGATGCTACAGAGGAAGGGGACAGGCGTGCATTAAATACAAACAAACAAACAAACAAACAAACAAACAAACGAGTAGAATGGCTGGTCACTCTGATTGCCCCAGGCTCCGTGTATGGTTCTGAGAGTGACATCGGATCTCCTATAACCCTATGGGGAGTCTAATGTGGGATGTTTCCTTCCTGCTGCAGCATCGACACAGCACAGATTCACAGGGAAGGGGGCAAGGACGGGGCATGAATTCAGTGCTGGGTCCACCTGGCACCTTGCGAGGCACCCCACTGGGTGTTCACAGGCGGCTTCCTCAAAGCAAACCAGGGAGCAGCTGTCGAGAGAGGAATTTCTCTCCTAGAAGGCAAAGGTGGAGTCTTAAGTGTTTACAGTCTGCGCGAGGATCTGGGCCCATGGGCGGTGCTCAATACATACCTATAAAATAACGAATGAGTCAGTGAAGTCTAGTCTTCCCAACCTGCCCAAGTTCAAGGGGAGGGGACACAGGTCCCATCCCTCCACGGGAGGGGTGTCAAGCTAGAGCAGGGGGGATGGGAGATGATGTCTGTGGTCCCTTTTGGAAAACACAACCTGCCTTAAGACTAGAGGGAGACAGTGGCACAAGGGAACCAAAAGATTTGCAAGAACCTTCCGCCGGTCCCACCGAGGATCCATGTTCCTGGTTTAGATAAAGGAAATGGGGTAGAGGGAGCGTGGTCTGTGGTCCAAACTCGGCCCATCCACTTATTCCCAGAGTGACCTTTGACCTGCACCTCCCTGCACCTGTAAGAGCTGGCACATGTGACGAGCGGTGGCTGGGATGCCTGTTAGCGTCACCGCTACCGGTTACAGCGGGTCGGATCTGCTGCAAGGCCCTTTGCCCTCTTAGTCACTGGGCGTATGGTCTGTGTGTGACATGCCCTACATCGTTATGAAGACTGACACGATCTGGCCCTGACTTTGTGTGTTGGGACAAGGCGGATTCTGTGTGGGGGAGGAGTACCGCCAGAGGAGGAACATTTGGGGAGTCCAACGACACAGAGGTCCGGTGTTTGTCGAGAGAATGGCATGGACCCAGGGAGCCTGGGGAATGATGCTGGAGGGCAGCCTAGTGGGTTGCGTCTTGGCTGGGGACTTGCCCCGGGTGGGCTGTGTGCTTGCGAAATCGGAGTCAGGGGGATTTAGCGGGGGCGGCCTCTGGACTCAGAGAGATTCCACGATCTCTCCAGTGGGCATCGCGGTGCTCTGGTTGTCATTTTTTTATTGTCTTCCCATCCCAACCTCCAGTAAGAGTCTCTGGGTCAGGGTCGGGGTCAGGGTCAGGAGAGGGCAGATTTTGTGTCCCGCCTTCTAAAGGGAGGTGTCCAGACTTGGCCTCCACCCAGAGGCTGGGCTTGGCTGACTGGAGATTCCCCCAGGCAGTGGGGTGGGGACCCCTGCCCCTCTCTTGGGAGACAAAGCTCTGCAGTGAACTTTGGCCAACGCTCAGCGCCATCTTGTGTGAGCAGCACACCCCACACACGTCTTGTGCCTGCCTTTTTCCATCCGCAGTCTGTCTTCCTTCCCTAACTCCCTCACAGGGATACAGAGTGCCTGCAAAGCACTTTTTTGTTCATCAGACAAAAAGAAAAAAAAAAGGCACTACCGAAATAGAAGATATTATTAATACCTCACGATGGTAAAAATGGTGATCAGGGAGTTGAATTAAGGCATTATGGGAGAGCTGCGGTAGTGAATATTTTAGAAATAAAACACACATGATAAAAGAATTATCAGAGCTACTAATTATAGAGCGGGGACTATTAAGGGAACAGAGGAAAGTCTGCGCTGAGGGGAAAACGGGAAGAAAATTGGTGAACGGAGAAATGGAAAATAAGCAGGAGAGAAATATTTACATGCGTTGCCTTTTCTGTTAGCGTCATCCGAGATGTGATGTGTAGAATCGAAAGGAGTCGTTTAAAGAGGAAAGTGGTCATTTGTTAAGAACGATTTATTTTATATTTTTACGCTGACGTCAGTTTCATTGAGGTATAATTTACACCTAGTGAGATGTCCCTTTTCAGTGTGTGGTTCCATGAATTTTGACAAAGATATTGTCATGGATGTTCCCCTGCAATGAAGATCTAGAATATTCCATCGCCCCACTCAGTCTCCCACAGTCTGCCTTATGCCACCATCTCATCCCCGGAGATGTCCTGCTCCAAGCCAGGAAGGACTTCTTGATGACTGAATCCAGCAGACATCTTTGAGTTGGTTCAGACGTTCATTCAACTGAGTGGGGCCGGGACGAGGGTGTGCACAGAATGGAGGCACGGGTGTGTGGGGGCAGTAGAGGAGACATGGAGGAACTGAGACCACAGGGTCTTAATCCTCTTGAAGGGAGAGGCCAGACTGCCCCATCAGAGTGTTGAGGTTGGGACACTGGATAAGGTGTGAGGGGGGCAGGGAAAGCCGGGAAGATCTGGAGGAAGAGGAGGAATGAAGAATGTCCCGCTTCCTTGTCATCAAGGGGACGGGAAGGTGAAGGGAAGGAGCGAGGCAGGGCTGGGTGTTGGGACAGAGGCAGGGGACAGGTGACGAAGACGCGGCTCTGTGTCAGCCTCGCCCACCAGATCCTTGGTCATCGGGGACTTTCTAAGTGCAGCAAGGAGCTTCAGGGACAGGACTTCCAAAACACCTGGCTACAACCTCTTTCGTTTCAAGATGAACTTGAGCAGATGGTCCAGTTAGATTCCCTCCGCACCTGTCTCCTGCCACTGTAGGATGGGGTGGATGTGGGCAGCCAGCTCGGACTAGAAGCCTTCTAGTATTTCCTGTCTCCAAGGCTGAGTGTGACCTTGCACTCCAGGACAGCTCAGATGGCGAGACTGGGTGGCAGAAGCCAGCCTTCTGCCCTGATGTCCTCAAGATTCAAAGAGGACACTTCTCAGG